AAAAGCAATATAATTATTGTAGTAAAAACAGATTTTAATGCTGTTGGAAAAACAGAGTAAAAATTTTTAATTTTACAAAAACTAAATGGTAATATTTGGATTTCTCCGACTTTAAGAAAAAAAAAGAGTTGAACAGCTATAAAAATGTCATATGGGTGGAAAACATAATTATGATTGTATAATTTTTTAGTTTTCAATATTAAATCTTTTATTAACGGGGCTTTCAAATGCAAATTAGGCTTATATAGTATATAAAGAACATATATGTACATATTATTTAAGTGATCGACACTTACTGCTCATATGATCGTTATTATCACTAAAAAGAAAATAAACTAAATTTTCCAAACATAGTATTTATTCTTTTGTTTGTTCATTTGCAATTTAAGATTTCAAAGGAACATTAAATTATTTCTGTTATTTTTTCTGTTATTACTTTGTTATTAAATATTGTATGTATATATGCACATATTTATAATCTACATACATATATGAATATTACAGATCCCTTTTTATTATGAAAGTTCAGTTCATACAGTTATGTATGGAGCAGGTAACAAAATGAAAAGGGAAAAATAAATAAAATATATGTAGCAGTTTTATTGTGAACTTGTGATTCACAGTAAATTAAAGTTTCCATCCGGTCATTGTGGCAATGTAATAAAAAATACCAATGTAGAAAGTATAGTTGTTAAATATTCATAAATTATAAAGCTCGAACATACTGTAAAAATAATTTGATTAAAAAATAACATTAATATTTTGGCAACGTCAAAGTATAAATAATTTTCAGTAAAAAAAAAGAAACACTCACTAGACAAACATTATTTTTTTTTTACAAAATCAACTGAGCTAAAATTTAATACGGTAGCGTGAAAAGATCTATAGTTAATTAACCAAAAAATTCTGAACTTTCATAAGTATATACGAAATTATTTGTTATATAATAGGTACCCAAAGTATGGTTCAACGCGATAGGGGTGTCTACTAGTGGTGTTTAAATGAATGGAATACAAAATTAAGATTACACTTTTTTTTTTTTAAATTTCTTGCTCGTTAGTTTTCGATTTAAGCTCTCTTAACATTATGTTACCTTTGCGATTAACTATGTATTTATATATGAACGTATACATACATAAACCCCAAGTATACTACAAGTCTGTACAAAATAAAAAACTAGTAATTAAATCAAAGAAGTTATGTAAAATGTACGTTTCGGAGAGTGTACTTTACGTTACTTAAAATTTCATTATCCTTTACCTTTTTTTTCTTATATACATACATATATGTATCTTGAATTATTGACGAATTTAGAATTTACATATTATATATTTATTTTCACTTTTTTATTATTTTACGAACGCGAATTGGAACAATTAGAATTGCCTCACAAATTTTGTTTTCGTAAATAAATAAATACTGAAAAATTTATGGCAAATTTTGTCTGTTAAAACTTTGTTTAAAATTGACATTCATAAATCACTGGATAAAGAATTAATATTCCATTTGAATGATAATGTTTGGCAACCTTTGATTAAAATTTTATATTTGTAAACAACACAAGCTTCATATACCGTAGTAATTGTTTAAAAATATTATTTTATAAACATACACACAAACGTATGCGATAAAAAAAATGATTGAACAAAAGACCAGCGAAAATGAAGTGTCAGATTTCAAATTATGTGATTTATTTTTAAATGTAGAAAATAAAATAAGAAAAAAACACAAAGTAATTCTTATTAAATTTAGATCTTTTCAAAATAAAAAAAATATTTTTTTATGCTCTTTTACAAATGTTTAATTGTCTTTTCTTTATAACTTACAATTGAAATTTAAAGAAGGTTCTTATAATTCCACTTGCGCATGCTGTAGAATAATTCTATATTTTTCAGAAAGAAAGTGTTATTCCTCTACGTTTATAAACATTACTATATGAACAGACATATACATATATATTATATCCGTTTGGGGGGCTTTTTTATTCTGATTTCTATGATCACATAATATATGTATGTATTGTTAGTATGTATATGCAATCGCATGATTTTTAATGCATATAATTATAGGTACTATATTTGCATATTATAAAATAGGTCAAAAAATTAATAATAATTTATTATTAGTAACTTAAAACTTTAATGAAATGCGTACGTTGAACTTATTTAGGTTAGAAAAAATTTATTAGAATTTTCGTTATTTGAGTTTCTATATTATAATGGACCTATTATATACGAAAAAATTTTCTACTATTTAATTCAAATTTCTATTTCATTTTCAAGAAAATTCAAATTTTCTTCTATTTATATTCGTTTAAGCAGGATACAAAATTTAATACTGGTATTTTGCTTAAACAGTGTTTAATAGTTTTATGTAAAATAGTATGATCAGACAGAAAGGTTATGAATTTAAATAATGAATATTACCAACAATATGAAGGTTCACATACTTAAAATTTAATAATTCATTATTAATCAAACAAATTTCTTTCTTAACTTATCACATAAAAATTTTTATCCACTTGTAGAATGTTGACAATGTTTAAATACTTAATGCCGAAATACTTTTACAATACATTTCCACCTCATGTTATTCAAATATATTTCAGGATATTTTTACATACATAGCTATCATTTATATGGTAATGAAGGAAATTCTTAAAATAGTTTATTCAAATTTATAGATTTATGACTTATTTTTTTTTTCACAAATCCATCAAAGGTAATGTCCATGTATATATAGACACACATAATATACCGATTTATTGACATTTATATCTTCATTATTATTTAAATTTTGAATATTTTTTAAATTATAAAAAAATAATACGGCAAAGAACAATAGACGATCTTTCATATATTGATCCTGATAAAAAGATATTAAAAAGACAACCATGACGCATAAGGACATAAGTTTTAGGAAAATTTTTGTGTCAATACTTGGATTTATATATATATATGGAACAATAAGATGTCCTGTCAAAAAAAAAATATCTTCATTATTATAGATATTATTTGTATCTTATCAAAATTTTATCTTTTCATAGACTTACGTTATCATAAAGAAGAGTACGCAATAAGTATACGAGTGTTTTATATATAAGAAGAAATTATACCAGCATCTCTTTGTATAATCATTTTTTAAGAAGAATTATAAAACTAACAAATATACATGTCCATGTATGTATGAATGTTTTATTGTTTTTTATTAACACGGTTGTGCAAGGGGGTCTTCTGATTTTTTATTAGGTTATAGAGATATATTATTGAGAAATTTCTATGATTGTTTATCCTATAAACAAAAGCATGTCAAATTCATAATCTTAAATTTTAAATAATTTAATAATCGTATGCATTTTCAAAATTCCACCAATTTTAATCAGTTGATCATTCAATTTTTCGGATATACACATACATACATATATACTCATAAATAAAATTTCTTTATTCAAATTTCAAATGAAATTTATAAAAATACAATAACTTTTTCTCATTGATTTTTTTAATCTTATTTGAAAGATTTTTTCAGATATACAAAATAAACTCAGAATTTTTATAAAATTCAAGTATCCAATCGAATTGAATATTATGGTTATAAAAAACCTTAAAATTCCGAATTCTCAAAAAATTGTAACTATGTACATATATGATTTTCATTGTGTATAGAAATAAAGTTTATGTTTGCAGTTACTGTTATCACATATTTCAATAATTATAAATATTAAATTTTATTGTTTTAATTTTAAAAATACATACATATAGTTCATAAAATAGTTTTATTTAATTTAGTGTCATAATAATTATTTGTAATATTAAAATCTTTACTCAAAAACAATATCCTTTGAATACTCGTACTCATTGCGTTAGTAGCAGTAATAATATTTTAATAGTAAGGCGGTCGGTAGAAAATAAACGTGAAATGTATAAGTTGAAATTTATGGGCCTCATTTTGAGGTGTATTTCAAATAAAATGAAAATATATACATAACATCTTAATCAATTAAAGATCATTAGATCTGTGTTTTTAAACTAAAATAACGACGCATAAATAATTTTTGTATTATTTTTTATTAAAATTCCAGTGAAAAACATTTTCATGTAAAATGTTATCAAGAGGAAAAAATATATTGATCACATTTTCAAAAATAATTTCAGATTTCATATAAAACCAAGCTTTTAATTTCATATAAAACATCACTTAATTTCAGATTTCATATAAAACCAACTCTTAAAGCTCTAAGTTCAGAAACTCTACATATTATTCAAAATACATGGCAGTACCCCCCAAATTTTTTAATATCGATTGTTATAACGTAATAATGAAGTTACCGATAGTAAATGCGGCTTAATATAGTTTTAGTTATTTGGTTGTTTTCTTATTTTTTAATCTTGTTGTTTTTTGGATATATTTCAGGGTTTTTAAACCGTATTTAAACCGCGTTATAACTCTAGAAGTATATTGCTGCTACTTTATTTAAATATACGCATTTCTATTTATGTGCAGCTGCCATTTCAATACGAAAAGATTTAGGAATGATAAATTTTATATTTATGCATATGAATATAAGGCATTTTTTGCATTTTCCAAATGGGGATCAAGCGTCTTTATTAATTATTCTGAACTTTTTGTATGAGATTGTTATATTATTACCAATCTCATAAATTGATATTAGTAATATTTCAATATTTAAGTTTTGATATTCATCGGCATTTTTTATTTTGAAATGGATTCGAAAATGCTACATGTTCTTTAAAGTAAGAAAAAATTTTCAATTTGGTTTCTTTTATTTTTCCGGAATATATTCTTGCAAATGCAATATTCGAGTACAAAGCAACTATGTATGTATTATCGGATATTTTTGTAACATTGCTTCTCAAGTTGTGAGACAAAATCAAATTATAATATGATCTATAAAATGTAAAATATCTTTGTGATTGCAGCCAATAAAATAAATTGTAAAAATTGTTATACAAATTCAAATCATAGTATGATATACGTACCTCACTTTCAGCTCAAAAAAATATAAAGTTAATCCAAAATTTTTGTATTATTATATAATTATAATATATATGTATAATTGTTATTTTGTATATTATAGTATATACGTATATATATTAATATTTATTATATAAAATTTATATTTACGTACAGTTGACAAAAAATCGTGTTTACTTAAAATATACTAAATATAATTTATATAATATACCTTATGGAAAAATATAATTTTTAAATATTTCTTTTTTTTATATATTATTTACTTTTCTTGATATAATAAAATCATATATATGTATGTACATATGTATATATATAAAAATAATATTTTTTAATAAATATTTAGAAAAAATTATTTAATATTTTAATTAAAATATTTAATTATAATTTTATTTATATTTTTTTTTCAATTTTTTTCTTTTTATATTTTTTATTATAATTAATGTATAAATCGTTTTTTTTTATTAATTATCACAAAATTTTTGATTTTAAAATTTTCATAATTTCGAAATGTTTTTTTTTATTTTTTTTTTCTTTCTTTTCTATTAAAAAATTATAAATTTTCTTTAAAATTATATTTAAAATAATTTGAATTAAAACTATTCATGCATATACATATAAAATATACACATAATATATGTATGTGTGTATGTATGTACTAAGGATGACATTAAATGAAAAATAGTTTGACTATATTGGTTTTTATGTAATTAATAAATTTATTAGTCATTATTTTGTAAATTTTTTTTGTATGACTGTCAATTATATAAAATTAATAATTTAATGCAGACATTTTATATATGTATATATTATGTATGTATGTATATTTATTTTGTATAAAATATATTATAATAATTTATTATTGTGTAGCGCGCAATCCAAAACTAAATATAAAATATTGAAAAACCGTTACGACGCGAAACAGGACTAAACTAATTTATAAAATATAAAATAAATTTCCCGTCAAAAAGAAAAACAACAAACAGAACAGAACAATAATAAAAGATGCATACTTGTGTATACATACATACATATATTTCTATATACGAATAATAATCATAACAAATAATAAAACAAAGAAAATGGAAAAATCACCTATTTTATAAAAAAAATTCTTCCAATAAGAAGAAAAACAAAAATTGAGTCAAATAAGATACTAACACACATACATATACTGTGCATAGACATTCATACATACATACATATCCATGTACATATATAGATACTTATGCTTACATACATTTATTTATAAAAGCGTGAGGTTATTTAAAATTTCTTTTGTTTATATAACTCAATTTTCACTCAAAATACAATATATATATGTGTATATGAGTATATATATAATGCAATCTCTTGCTAGACTTTCGGTTGAAGAAATACTCATTTTCGATATTATCATTTTGAATATGTGATGTACCAATGTATATTTACAAAATATATGTATGTATGTTTGTAAAGGAACACCATGTCATACATTTTTGTTCACCAATTTATTAATAATATAGGAATAACCATGTACTCGTAACTCTATTAAACGTACTTATAATAAAATTTACTCCATTTTTAAAGCGGGTATACCAATATGAAGGTAAATCGTATAATTGAAGGTAAAAATTATGTATTGATATATACATATACGCGTTTGTAAATTTTGTTATATATATGTATGTAGTTATTAAAGATATAATTATTGAACAGTATACATTTATTCGCTCATTAATATTTAATACATGTACATACATGCAAGCATTAATATATGTATAAGCATTTTATTGCAAGTAATATGCATATACAAGTAAAAATTTATTCCGCTATAAATGCGCTCCATTTAATTAATATTTATTAATTATAATAACAATAGAATAGAAAAACTTTAAAAAAAAATTAAAGCAAGGTAAAAAGGCCCAAAAAATTAAAATTTTTAAAATACATAATTGACTTTTCAATTGCATAATCCAATATTTCTTAGATTAGATTTAATTTATTTATGTATGTAAAATAAGTTGCAATTAAGCTTTTTAATACTAATCCTATACTTATATTTAAGACTATATTTATGTGTAAGTATAGTCTTATTCTATGCCAATAAATTTTTTTTTGGACAACAAACAATTTAACACCAAATTTAGTAAGTCTGCAATTGCACTAAAGCAATTTGAAAACGTAATACATACTAAATATTTTCGTTATTAAAGAAAAAAAAACATTGTAAATGGTTGTTTTTTTTTTTAATTTTTACGAAAACAATGTAAAGATGTATGTTTACATTTTTGTTCTATAATTTTTTTATTATAATTTATTAAACAGAAGAGAGATTCGAGCCATTTTGAACGAATGTTCTACATTTTTCTAAGTCATTGATAAAAAAAATTTGATATAAAATAACATTTGCAGTACTCTATTTTTCTTAATAACGCCTAAAATAGAACAAATAGGAAGATAACCCATACTAAGGTCAAATAAAAGTTCAGTAGACGAGGTTGCTAGGTGTGCATTAAATTTAAGGCTTCAATTTATTAAAAATATATGTATACTTAAAATTTCAAAAAGTAAAAAAATCAGTCGAAATTCGCTTTATTCTGCTGTAGCTCCAAAACTGTTGAGCTGCGAACATCTTCCCCATACAAAAGTTTTGTTTACTCATGAAGGTCTATGTAATGGTATATAGCAGTGCACTTTGATACGATACATCCTGGATTTACTGAAATACAATGAGTACTCAATACAATATGTAAACATCCTATATATCTAACAAGAAAACCTTTTTCTTGCTTTAAAATAATGTCATAAGTGTCATATTCTCTCACTTCTTGTTTTTTTTCACACGGCATAGACAGAACAATACATAGACAGAATTGCAACTCCAACGTTTCAAATTTATTTATTGTGTTCTATCACATCGGAATTATCATATAAGTATATATAATATAGTATCGAATCACAAAGTCGCCTTTATTGAAATTTATCGTAAAAATTACCCAAAACATTTCTATAGACACGAATCATCAGTAAAGTGCAATTAATTAATGTTGAACTATTTACAACAATAATATCACTATATTTAATGATTCGATACTCAGAAAAAGTCTCGATTTTTTTAATTTTATGGTATTGTATATCAACATCCACAAACCGACAAATAAGTATGTACATTTATATAAAATTAATAATTCTGTTTGACAAATATAATAGGTTTTTAACATATTATTGTATTACATTTATATTATATTATTATATTTATGTTTTGAATTCTTGTATTATATTTGTATTATATATAGATACATATTATATTTATCTTTTGAATTATTGAATTATAGTTAACTGACATGTATAGTACAATGAAATATATGAAATGAAAAAAAATATGAAAATAAATAAATCGATTTGACAGTTTTTTCCTAATTTAAACTAACTAAATTTAATAAATGACATTGACAGTTTTGAAAAATATTTACATATTCAAAAAATTATTATTAAATTATGGCGAAAGTTAAAAAGAAATCGCTGATATTTTAATCTTCAAACTGGTATAATAAACATGAAATAAAGTGTAAAACGCAATGTACACATATATTGGGTGTGACAATCAAAAATGCTTATGTAGTAACTGCGTTATGGAGCTGAATAGTAAACGAGATATTGCGCCCTCTTCCACATCCGGTTTTAGTTTATGTGACATTTAAAATAAACCTTTCTTTCCGATTTGTGAAATTGACAAGGTATGTAGAATAAAAATTTACAAAATAATTTTTTTTTTAGAAAATGTGATGTGTATTTTAGTAGTTTATAATAATTATATTTATTTTGTATAATATTTATAATGTGAATAATATAATGATAAATAATTTGAAATTATTTAAAAATGTAATATCAGCATGATTAAATATTTGTTTAACTTTTAGTTCAATAATCAAAATGCAAATCTTTGTACGCGGTTTAGAAAATATAGAAACGTTCGAAGTTTCCAAAGAAGACACAGTTCAAGTTATAAAGGTAATTTAGTTACATAGCCTTATTAAGAAAAAAGAATTTATCTTTTTCGTATTTTAGCTCCAAGTGTCGCAAAAATATGGAGTAAATTGCGATGAAATTTCTTTACACAGCGAAGGTAATATCCTTGATAACAACGTCCAAATAGGAGAATTATCATCATGTGAATTAGATGTCACCGTTCCACTTTTGGGTGGTAAAGTCCATGGTTCATTAGCTCGTGCTGGTAAAGTCAAAGGCCAAACTCCAAAAGTAGACAAACAAGAAAAGAAAAAGAAGAAAACAGGACGTGCTAAAAGAAGAATACAGTATAACAGACGCTTCGTAAATGTTGTAGCTGCTTTTGGTCGTCGTCGCGGACCTAATGCTAGATCATCATAAAATGTATTTTATGGAATAATAAACTTTTAAAAAGGAAATATGTTATACATGATTTGAAAAACGATTTTTTTATAAATTCAGATTGATTACTTCAATCACAATTGCAGAAATATAAAATTCAAGTAACCTTTATCAAACAAGAGTAAGAGGTTTCCTGAGTAAATTGGTATGAATGTTTAAAAAAGTTCACTTGATTTTCTGCACAAGGGGTCTATAACCGGTGGATCTTCTTATCTTTATGAATTACGGGAAGAAAAATTATGCGCTAAAGCGAAACCTCGATCTTTTTAAAACAAGAAATGGAAAATAGCTATAGAAGATCTGTGTATGTATATAGGTATTTAAAATAGATAGGAACTTGTAAATGAAAGGACGAAAACTGGAGATGTGTTTCATACAAGTATGAAAGTGAAACACTAGTTAAAAATGTCATTTTTTGAATCAGTGACAACTCATGTAAATAGGTCGTTTATGAACATATTTTTTATTGATTGAAATATTCGTCGGTAAATCAGTTTGCTGCACAAGTTAAAAAATAAAATGTAAACTTTTAATGCAGTCGACCTACATAAGTATACTGAATCAAAATCAAAATAAAACACTAAAGCTAAAGCAAAATTTTTATTCAAAGAACAATAAATTATCTAAAGAAAATATGTTTAATAATTTATAAATCTTTAAAAACTTTTAAAGATAATTCAAGTTCGAATTTATTAACAGCAGAAACCGAAATAATAACAATAAGGGTATATGTCACTACAAAACTGATTTTAAAATTTTTGGAGTTATTCATCAATATTCTGGTAGTCGTATTGCATAAAGTGATACTACATCCCGTTTAAGTCCTATTCTGATTATTTGGTAGTCATAGTACGTTATAGTGTTACCAACTTAAACATGATCGCAAGTGTGAGTAATCTTACATGTGAGTAATAAAAGTGAATAATCTTACATCAGATGTAAGATTATTCACACACTTGCGATAGTGATTTTTTATCACCTGAATATTTCCATTGGATAGGCCGTCACGCCGAGGGCTTATAGTTTAAATATATAAATAAAATGAAAAAACCGGAAAGTTAGTAGATACAAAAGTTAATTTTACATTAAAAATTTCAAATTGATAATTGGATTATTTGTACTTCATCGAAAAAAAGAATAACAAGAACTTTTAATAAAATTATTGGTATTGCCAAAAGTTTTTCGAGACATTCAAACAAGTATTAACTTTCAAGTTAGAAACTTTTTTTCAAAACCCTGGAATACTAAAAAAATTTCTAAATCTAAAAAGAATTTTAAGAAATCCTAAGGTTTTATTTTAATATTTAAATACATATGCATATACATATACATATTAATATGTATATATGTAAGTAAAAACGTATACATAATTAAAAAAAAATTATATGAAAACACGTGTAAACACTCAATAGTCACATTTCATTGAATAAAGAGTTTACCCAACATATCATAATTTTTAAGTGATTATTTACCTAATAGCAAAATAAAAAAAAATAATCTAATAAAATTGACAAATAATTTCTTTTTTCACATGTACATACGTGCATTCATATATATTTAAATAAAAGAGAATTCTGATTGGAGAAATATGCTACGAATTTAGAGTAGCAATTAAATTGTTAAAAAAACTTGTATAACGCTCAATAGATTTCGCTGTTCCGCTGTAAATTCCTTCCAACAACAATATCAAAGGAACTACCGGCTTTATAAAAAGTTTATTGGGAATTGCAGACATGCAATTTATTTGAAGGGTTTGGAATAGGAGCTGCTGACAGATGTATAATTTTGTTCCGATTTTCATTAAATTTTGTAAAAGCGGGTAATAAATTCGAAGCTGTTTTAATTTGCTAAAATTATTTAATAAGGAATTTTTTATAATTCGAAATGAGTCACCATTACGTTGTGACGGCTCAAAAACCCACGGCGGTAATTGCTTGTGTTACTGGTAAGTTGCTAAATGTGCCAAAGGTTAGAACTTCTAAAAGAAAATAAAATTCAAAATGTGAAATCGAGGCGTTGTCGTTGATAATTTTGTATCAACATTTCATAAAATTGCAATTGGCTTTCTATTTATACATTAATAAAAAATTCCGTAGACTATTTAAAAAAAAACTACTTATGTGCACACATATATCTATTTTTAGGGAATTTTACATCTCCCACTGACCTGAATTTAATAGTGGCAAAAACTTCTCAAATTGATATATTCCTAGTAACACCTGAAGGCTTGCGACCTTTAAAGGAGATAAATATATATGGACAAATTGCGGTTATGAAGCATTTTCGACCACAGGTATGTTTAAATTCCAACTAAATTGGATACTGTTATTTTTCTGTTTTCATATTACAGGACTCCCAAAAAGATTTATTATTTATATTAACGCATCGGTATAATGCCATGATTCTCGAATGTAAAATGAAAGGAGACGATATAACTGTTATTACTAAGGCTCATGGAAATGTTTATGATCAAGTCGGGAAATCATCTGAAAATGGTATAATTGCAGTAATAGACCCTAAAGCGCGTGTTATAGGAATGTGTATGTATATTGGCGTTTTTACTATAATTCCTCTTGACAAAGATTCAGGCGAGCTGAAAGCTACGAGCTTAAGGTATAAAAAATAATTTTTATTGGTAAATAATAATTTACTTACATTCCAAAACAATTTGCGAAGGATGGACGAGCAATTAGTTTATGATGTTGAGTTTCTGTATGGTTGCGTCAACCCAACAATAATTGTAATTCATAAAGATAATGATGGACGTCACGTAAAAACCCATGAAATAAATTTGCGTGACAAAGAATTTATGAAAATAGCGTGGAAACAAGAAAATGTCGAAACTGAAGCTTGCATGCTCATTCCCGTGCCAACTCCGTTAGGTATTTATTAATCTGTTGTCTTTTTATTACTTACGCGTTTCTCAATGATAAAGGTTTTTTTAAGAAAAATATTTTTTTTTGTCAGGCGGTGCTATTGTAATTGGAAGAGAATCTATAGTTTACCATGACGGAAGTACATATGTTGCTGTTGCTCCGTCAATTTTCAAGGTATGGTGAATATATTTCAATCTCTTCAGATATCCATCAATCTTGATATTTTAGCAAAGTACAATCAATTGTTATGCAAGGGTGGACGTCAAAGGCTTAAGATATTTGTTAGGAAATATGAGTGGGCAGTTATTTATGTTGTTTTTAGAAACAGAAGATAATCCAAAAGGAAACCCTTTTGTTAAAGATTTAAAAGTCGAGCTTTTAGGTAATTATTTATAAATCTCTGATGTTGTGATGCATATTTGTTTTTCATATTTATAATAGGGGAGATTTCAATTCCTGAGTGCATTACTTACCTTGATAATGGGGTTCTTTTCATTGGATCAAGACATGGAGACTCTCAATTAGTTAAATTAAGTGTATCTGTTAATGAAAGTGGATCTTACGTGGTTCCAATGGAAACTTTTACAAACTTAGGTCCAATACTCGATTTATGTGTAGTGGATTTGGACAGACAAGGACAAGGGCAAATTATTACTTGCTCCGGAAGCTTTAAAGAGGGATCCCTAAGGATAATTAGGTAAACATCAGCTGTTAGGGGCGAATTTGCTAAAAATTATTTACAAATTAACATTTTTAATAATAAATTGAAATTGAAATGTTATTCCACAGAAATTGCACAAATCCCTCATGATATAAATATATTTTTAGAATTGGTATTGGAATACAAGAACATGCATGCATAGATTTGCCCGGTATCAAGGGAATGTGGTCATTGAAAGTTGGAAATGAAAACACAAATTATGAAAACACACTTGTACTTGCTTTTGTGGGACATACGAGAGTTTTGACATTAACGGGAGAAGAAGTAGAAGAAACTGATATTCCCGGCTTTTTATGTGATCAACAAACATTTTATTGTGGAAATGTTGAATTTGACCAAGTATGTCGCCTCATTAAAGCTATATATCTTTTTACATTTTCTATAATAGAACGCTTTATTTAGATAATACAAGTAACTCCTTTATCAGCGAGATTAGTCAAAATTGGAAGTAAAAACATGGTAGATGAGTGGAAACCCCCTGGCGACAAAAGAATTGGAGTAGTAGCTTGTAATAATAACCAATTGGTGTGTGCTTCAGCTAATGAGGTGTATTATATTCACATTGAGAATAGCAAATTAGATGAAAAATCAAGAAGAACCTTAGAATATGAAGTTGCTTGTTTGGACGTTACTCCTATAGGAAACGATACGAAATCCGCTTTTGTTGCAGTGGGTCTCTGGACTAATATATCAGCTGTTGTTTTAAACCTCCCAGAACTTGATGTTTTGTATACCCAAAAACTTGGAGGCGGTAAATATTAACTCATTTGATTTAATGGGGTTATATTTATTATTCTTTCTTTTAGAAATCATACCGCGTTCGATTTTAATGACAACATTTGAAGGTTGTCACTACTTGCTCTGTGCGCTTGGAGATGGATCTATGTTCTATTTTGTGCTGAACGAACAGGATGGATCTCTTTCAGACAGGAAAAAAGTTACCCTTGGGACTCAACCGACTATTTTGAAAACCTTTAAATCTTTTTCAACTTCAAATGTGTTTGCTTGCTCCGACAGACCAACGGTTATTTATTCATCGAATCATAAATTAGTATTTTCAAATGTCAATTTAAAAGAAGTAAACCACATGTGCTCATTAAATGCAGAGGCGTATCCAGATAGTTTAGCATTAGCGACAAAAAATTCTGTTATTTTAGGGACAATTGATGAAATACAAAAGCTACATATTAGAACAGTACCTTTAGGAGAGGGGCCAAGGCGAATTGCATACCAGGAAAGCTCTCAAACATTTGCAGTTTCAACTATACGTACCGATGTTCAAGAAACATCTGGGCTGGTCCCATCAAGACCCAGTGCCTCAACACAGGCTCAAAATATTACTTCATCAAGCAACACTTTACCAAAATCTGGTACATCGGGAACCTCAGCGACAAATATTGAAATTGGTCAAGAAATCGAAACGAACAATTTGTTGATTATTGATCAAAACACTTTTGAAGTTCTTCATGCTCATCAATTTATGCCTTCTGAATATATTGTTTCCTTGATGTCTGCTAAGTTAGGTGAAGATCCAAATACATATTATGTAATTTCAACGGCTATTATACATTACGAAGAACCTGAGCCTAAGGTCGGAAGAATAATTATATTTCATTATAATGATGGAAAATTAACACAAATTGCTGAAACGAAAATTGACGGCTCATGTCATGCTTTAGTTGAGTTCAATGGCAAAGTTCTAGCTGGTATTAGTAGTTTTGTAAGATTGTATGAATGGACAAATGAAAAAGAATTACGAATGGAATGTAATATTCAAAGTAACATCACGGCGTTATACCTAAAATCTAAAGGTAATACATGTTATTATTTTAAAATAATAAAAGTAAAACGAGTTCCTATCATATACTCCTATATCAGTAATGTTTTGATTTTAACAATTTAAAGCAGCTTTTGGTCTAAAAAAGGTGTTTAAAAGCGAAAATTATTTCATATTTTTGAGGCTTTTTTTATTTAATTCTGCAACCAAATTTTAAAATTGATACGATTAATGTTACTCTTTTTTTAGGAGACTTTATATTAGTGGGGGACCTTATGAGGTCAATGACACTTTTGCAACATAAACAAATGGAAGGAATTTTTGTAGAAATCGCAAGAGATTGTGACCCAAAATGGATGAGAGCTATAGAGATTCTTGATGACGACACCTTTTTAGGATCGGAAACTTTTTCTAATCTTTTTGTTTGTCAAAAAGACAGGTATGGCAAGGTAAGTTTGTGAAGGCATTGATTCACGCACAATCAAATTTGGTATAATCTGTATTTCCAAAGTAATTTCCAACTTTTGTCGAAATTTTACTTTTTCGGAATTTGATGTTGCGACTATCATTGCATTTACGAATTTACACATGCTCAAAAAAAAAAAATTGTAAATTTTTATAAGTTAGCTTCATTTGAAATTAAAATATTGAATTTTTTCTCTTTGCTTTTGTAGTGCGGCAACAACAGATGAAGAAAGGCAACTGTTACCTGAAGTAGCTAGATTTCATTTGGGAGATGTTGTCAATGTATTCCGTCACGGTTCCCTTGTTATGCAAAATGTTGGTGAAAGAAGTACACCGAATCAAGGGTGTGTACTATATGGAACAGTTAATGGCGCTATTGGAATTGTTACTCAAATCCCACAAGATTTTTATGATTTTTTGCACGCTCTCGAAGAACGTTTAGCTCACACAATTAAATCTGTTGGCAAAATAGAACATTCATTTTGGAGAAGTTTCTATACAAATCAAAAAATTGAAGTGTGCGAAGGCTTTATTGATGGTGATCTGATTGAAAGTTTCTTAGATTTAACCAGAAACAAAATGTCAGACACCGTAAAAGGGCTCGAGGTAATTTTTGCTTACATATAAAGTTTTGACTCATACTTATGATTCTTTTTTATTGAAAGATGACTGTCAATGGAACAAAACAGGAAGTTACTGTGGAAGATGTTATTAAAGTGGTTGAAGATTTAACGAGAATTCATTAAGATCTTATTGTGTCTAAAAATGTTATATTACAATTAAATTGAGCAAATGTAGATATATTTTTTGACTAATAAATATTGGCGCCCGAATTAAATTTTTTACATTAGGTTTTATACGTTCAATTTTATTTAATGATCTTAAATTAGAATACATTCTTAGTGGCAATAATTTTCATTCACTTCATATCATTTAATTGTTGGAATATTTGATTTCATATACATATATCGAAATTTTGTACAAATTTTCCGAAAATATTTGAATTTCTCCTATCAAAGAAATGAATATAATATGTACAAAAAACTTTTAAATTCTTAAACTTTTCGTTTCATAATGACAATTTTTTAGCTCATTAGTTACAAGATAATAGATTATTGAAACCTTTAAAAAGAAAAATAAATTAAACATAATTATTTTACGCAATTTTGAAAATTAAAAACCGTTTAATACCTACAAATACAAATTTTACAATAACATTTCGATTTTTATATTACTTAGTAAACATTAAATTTTTAAATTTTTTTTTTTAATTTAGCTTAATATTTTGACTAATAAGATTACACGAAGATAGACAAAACATGTTGTTTTACGTAGTTGATGACACTGCAAGCTTTTTCAAATGCTCCATAAAAACTTGTAAAGATACGTCATCAGTCAGAACGGGTGCTCCAGCGTCCTAAAATTTTTTTCACATTATTTTTCATTTTGTTTGCAATAGAAGAATTTTTTTTTTTTTAATTTTACCTGTCCATAAGCATACATATTGTTATGAGTTTGTGATGGATTAACTTTTGATAATAAAAATCGTGCTTGTGATCCACCATGTTCGGTATCAATATATCTTGGCATTGGAAATCTTGTTTGCAAGATCTCTTGTGCATCATCTACTGGAGCTTGCAATAGTTGCTTAAAATTCTCATATTCAGCCATATCTTGATATTTCAAAGCTCGCCATTGAGCAATTGTTTCACCATGATAAATTAAAATTTGGAAAAACGTATCCATTAAAAGAATGCGATCTGCTTGAATTGATGAAGTATCTAATAATACTGGCTCTGGAGGGCCATTAAATGAATAACTATATAAAATTGGCTGTATCATGATAAGAGATTGTGTTAAATCTTCTCTCATGAGCATATGGCGATAAAATGTTGTTTCATCAGGCGAGTTATTGAACACTTGTAAAAATTGTGATCTACGTAAATGATACATAAATTGTGGATAAAGGGAAAAGTTTTCAGTCAGCCTGAAGCTATTAGGGTCATCCTTACTATATTCTCCGAATTTTTGGCACTATGAAAATAAATTAAATTTTTTAAACTGTTATGAATGGTTTATTATTTCTTACCAAACGGATTAATTGCCTATCGACCCATCTCAAAACATCAGGACCATCATCCGTCTCCGCTTTGTAAACAACCATTCTCGACATTATTACAGCAGCAGCTTCTTGGTCGAAACCAGCACTAATATGATGTACATTTGTATTTGCATCGGCCCAACTTAAAATTAAGAACAATTAATCACTTTATTTTGGTATATAATTTATTAAATTACTTTCTTGCCAAAGTTGTAACCCTAATTCTTCGTTGGCCAGTTGGATGCTGATATTGGGTTATAAATTGTAAACAACCCCTACCGCCCTGCGGTATCGGTGCTGCATGCTGGTTAACAATTTCAAAGAAAAATGCCATAGTAGAACTCGGATTAAACGCACAAATTTTCCATTGTGTAGTGCCACCCATTCCGATTTCCGTATCAGAAACCGATCCGCCTTTAACATTTAGGGAAACACAAGAGCCAATACCACCAGAAATTTTTATTTCACGTGAACATTTCACCTCTACTACGCCATTGAAAGCCATCTTTAGGTCACCTTTTTCATCACGAGCAAATACTCTTTGGAATGTTTGTTTAAACAAGGAAGAATTAAATGAGTCTCCCATAACCATATGTCCTCCGGTAGAATTACAACATTGCTTCATTTCCATCAAACCAGTTTGATCCAATGCACATGAATATATCTAAAACACTAGTAATAATTCGAAATATTACAGAACAATAACAATTTATATTTACATCAACGCAATGGCCATTAGTTGCTGCTCTTAAAGCTAGTGCATCATAATGTTTAATAGCTTTTTTCATATATTTAGCATTATCTTTGTGAATATCATGATGAGATCGAATTGGATGCTTCAATTCGTCGTCTACAACTTGGCCTGGACCTTGTGAGCATGGTCCTCCGACAAACATCATAATTCGAGCTGCAGTATTTGGGTAGGTGCACTCTAACAACCCGACAGCAATTGACAATGCAGTTCCTGTTGAACGCAAATATCTTTTACCTTGACCTACTGGCCATGGATCTCTTTGTAATTCACTTAACAGATCAGTTAACGACATATCGCACTGGCTTATTGGTTGTATAAATCGATTAGCTGGCGGAGCTTGTTGCTGTGGAGTCATCCTTTGTTGTGTCTGGTTGGGGACAGGACCGCGACCTATTCCCAGCATATCTTGAACCTGCTTAGCTGTTAAATCTTTTGTGCCCTTGAAAACATAGCATTTTGAGATGCCTTCCGCACCTAATTCATGTACTTGCACCATTTTTCCAAATGTTATTAGTCCTACTAAAGCAGTGGGTGGTAATAAACTTAGAGACATTGTTAAGGAATCTTTAAGAGCATTTAATTCCTCTTCATCCATGCATGTATCAACGAGAAATAAAAAAACAGGAGGCATAAATGGTGCCCTCGGTATTGTATATTCAATTGTACTAAATCCTGGAATCAATTCAGCTGGTTGGTGTTGTTCGGATATTGCAGCATACTGTGGTGGAAACTATAAATATTGAAAATTTTTAAGACAATATTTTGCTACAAACAAAAAATTAGCTTACTGGATTTCGTTGAAAGCAGAAATTGCAAACCCAAAGTTTAGCACGGTAGTCCACTTGACAGAGCGGATTCAGTATTGCACGGCAGGTCGATCTGGTACATATTACGGGTTCATATTGAATCGGTGGCAAATCTGGTCGTTCCCTTAATGGTTGATACAAGCAAGCTAAAGGAACCACTAATCGGCCTGCATCAATTCGGCTTGAAGGCCAAACATTCCAGGTTAAACGAATCCCATCTCTTTCTTCATTTTGTTGAATAAATTCCTCATATGTGGTCATCTCAACTGCACAAATTCAAAGTTGATTTTTTCAAAATTTAAAAAAGATGAATTTGTACCTTATATAAAAAAATTAATTCAAAATATAATAGTATTCTTATATTTTGAAGTTCAATGATGTAGCCTCGGCCACGTCACTTTGGGTTCGTGTCTGTTATCTGTTCTGTTTTAGTTTTGACATTAAATTTTAAAAAACAGGTGAATTGTCTATCATTTTAATGTCAAGCTGACATTTGGAGTTAATGCTTGACAATTAGGCAGCTCTCTAATTTTCCAACTTAGATTTTTGTTTGTGAAAATTTTCAAAAATTTGACATTTATGTTTTTGCTTGTTGCTGCTTTTTCTGTCAAACGTTGAAAAAAATTTAATACAAGAGAACTTTAAACTTATTTTATTATTTCATACAAATGAGAAATAAAATTATTTTCCCCTAGTTCTCTGTTCTCTTGAAATTTCAATTTATATGTATGTGTTTGGGTATTTCCATTGATTTATTTGATTGATAACTTAAAAACGGTTTGTTTTTAAAAAATCATTTCAATTCATAAATTAAAATACTGCAAGAACGAAATTTATTTACTATTGAAATTAGTTACATACTTATTTTATGACTAAATTAGTGTCCTTTTCGATTGGTGTTTCCAAATTCATGGCAATTTTTATATTTCAATCGAAAAAATTTGGATAAAATTTTTATATTTGGATTAATTTGTCAAATTTAGAGTGAAAAAGTTCTGATTATAGTTCTTTTCTTAGTAATTTGAAAATTTAATCTAGTTTTTATAAACTTTCTCGTTTTGAGTTGGTTTCAATACACATCTCGATTAATGGAGTTTTTAGTTAGTATATGTGCACCTACTTTAATATAAATAAAGTAATTAGTTTTGTGCACACTGGCAACAAATGTGCTGGTTATGTGAAGAATTGCCAGAATTTACTAACTAAATATGCTAAATTTAGCTTGTGTAATTTTCTGTTAATGTGAACAAAAATAAATAACATGATACAATACAGAAAATGCATAATTTAAACTAATAAATTTTTTATTTTATTTTACTCATTCATTGTAATTCACATTACTACTACAGCAAAGTGAAATTGTCAAAAAAATAACGAAACTGCGACATACAAACATAGTTAAGAAATTAGTACAGTAGTGGGATTTTTACAATTGTAGCAAATGTTCTTGCGTACTATTGAATTCACTATACCTTATTGCTGGGAATAAATTTTTAAGTAAATTGAATAAGAAAATAAATTAAAATTAAAATTAAATTGAGTAAGCCTATGCAACAAATGTAAAATCCTATCTTATTTTGATTTAAATGATGCGGGCGCGAATTGTGCATAGATTTTTCATAACGGTTCTTCCGTTTAAATTTACATTTTTGTAAATCCTTTTATATTTTTGAAATAGCTAACAAATATAAGCAAATTGTAAAATTTTGATTGAAGTTTTTTTTGCTTCTTTAGCCATAATTATATCTTAGTTACAGTCAAAACTGAGTAAATAAGTTTTCAAGGTCCTGGTAACACTGTTGAGTAAGAGCGTCGTGAAATTTGTCTAGAGAAATGATAAAAAATATTTTTATTTTAGTTTAAACATTTTTTTTTTAATTATATTGTAATAAAAAACTTTAGCTCATTGTGTTAAAAAGTGAAAAATAATTAATTGAAATGGCTACTAATATGTACAGAGTTGGAGGTAAGACTGTAGAAAATATTGGATACTTGAACCCCCATTATTCATACTTGTATCGAAAAAAGAAAAATGCACTTGTTTCTGTGAAATACATGCTGTTGCTTAAGCATATATAATATACGTAAATATGTTATTTGCAGATTATGTTTATTTTGAAACATCAAATTCATCGCCCTATTTGATCCGGCGAATAGAAGAATTAAATAAAACAAGTTCTGGTAATGTAGAAGCTAAAGTAATGTGTTTTTACAGAAGAAAAGATCTGCCCAACCCGCTCGTTCAATTGGCTGATAAGCACCAGTGTTCGTTGAGAAATTATTATTAATAGAAAAATTGTTTTTCATATAATTAATTTTAGTGGCCGCCGCAGAAGACTCCCCTATTGCAATTAAACTAAAGAAAACTTGGCTTAGAACTCCTGTCGGTGAAGAACAAGCAGCTCAAGCTGTTTTAGATCCCTCAATTGGTGAGATTTTTTTTACTTCAATTTTTTTTCGAAAGGCCTAATTTATCTAATATTTAAGCTTCGTTAGATGAAGAAAAGTCTAACTCTGGCGGGGGTGGGATTGGTAACGCTGATCTTTCTTCTAAGCAAAGACACCAAATAAAGCACAGAGAACTTTTCCTGTCACGTCAGGTGGAAACTCTTCCAGCTACTTCCATACGAGGAAAATGTTCAGTTACTTTATTAAATGAAACAGAATCTTTAACAAGTTATTTAAACAAGGAGGTAAATGAAAACTTATTTAGTTATGATAAATTTAAATAATTGGATGTATTTTTTTAGGATTCATTTTTTTATTGTTTGGTTTTTGATCCAAATCAAAAAACTTTATTAGCTGATAAAGGTGAAATTCGCGTAGGAAGTCGGTATCAAACCGAAATTACACCTCTTCTCAAACCTGGTGAAAAAGATGATAGGACGTTAGAACAAGTTGAAACCCTAGTATGGAACCCAAACCATAATTTAACCGATAGGAAAATCGATCAATTTTTAGTTGTGTCAAGGTCTATTGGTACATTTGCTCGGGCATTAGATTGCAGCAGCTCCGTTAAGCAACCCTCTTTGCATATGTCTGCAGCAGCTGCAAGCCGTGATATTACCTTATTCCACGCTATGGATACACTGCATAAACATAATTATTCAATTGAAGATGCAATGTGTTCATTAGTTCCTTCAACGGGACCAGTATTGTGCCGTGATGAAATAGAAGACTGGAGTGCAGCTGAGGCGAATCTATTTGAGGAAGCTTTAGATAAATTTGGGAAAGACTTTAACGATATTAGACATGATTTTGTAAGTATTGCTTCAAAATACTTGAAATTTAAAAATGCACATTAATCTTATGACATGAATGATATTTTAGCTTCCTTGGAAAACCTTAAAACAAATAATTGAATATTATTACATGTGGAAAACCACTGATAGATATGTTCAACAAAAAAGAGTCAAAGCTGTAGCAGCAGAGTCTAAATTGAAGCAGGTCTACATTCCTAATTATAATACCAAACCGAATTCTGGTGCAATAAGTAACAAAGGGGGACATAACTATAACGGATCTGCTGAAATTTTAATTGACGACTATAGTGGGAAACCATGTGAATCATGTTCGACCAATTCCTCTAACCAAGTATGTCTTTTATATATTAACAAAATTGATGCAAAGACTAACAACATTTTTAACAGTGGTATCCTTGGGGACCTCAGCACATGAATTTTCGCTTGTGCCAAAACTGCTGGAACTACTGGAAAAAGTATGCTGGACTGCATGCACCTACAAGAGTGTCAGATAGTGAAACAGAGTCGCAAAAGAAAAGGCCAGTTGTGGACTTGGAAGAAGATAAATTAAACGATTTGTCCAATAAGCAACACAAGTATTTACTGGAAAATATATTGCGATATTATCATATAATAAATAAAATATTTTAGATGCTCAATCAATAGTTGTGGAAAAGAATTTAAATTAAAAACTCATTTGGCTAGGCACTACGCGCAAGCTCATGGCATAGCTCTTCGTTCTGGATCACCAAGGCCGATAATGAAAACTCGTACAGCATTTTATTTAAAAACTACACCATATACAAGATTGTCTAGAATATTGTGTAGACATATTATTAAAGCTAAAAAAGCAGCACGTCAACCATCATATATGATAAATATTCAAGCAGTAAAACAAGAATGTAACTCATTTAAATTCCAATTAAAGCATTTAGATCGATTATCTTTATAAATTTCTATTACAGTTTCACTCCGATTAGCAAGTAAACCTTATTTAAATATCAGAGATACTGTATTTAAAAAGAAATATCGTGGAAGCGTTACAAAAATAGCAAATCGCCTGGGATCCCCAGGTGGTCAAAATGAATGGTTGATTTTGACGCCAAAAGAAAATATGCCACAACCTGATAAAGTAGCGTTCCCCAGACCACCAAAGGCTTCTGACGGTAGCTTAATGTATGAAAGGGTCCCAAATAAGATCGAAAAACTTAAGATCGACCCAGACATTATAACCTTGATACCTACTGGAGCAAATACAACAATTAAAAAACGATCATTTGAAGATGTAATAAACACCCCAGAGAGTAAGACTATTTCCAATTTCTTATTTTTTAATAGAAAGTAAATTTTCAAGCGCACATTATAAATAATTTTGTTTTGTCATTAGTTAACGTACTAGCAGTTCCACCAAGTGTTGTAGTTGGACCACCTACAAAACGCGCAAATAAAGACCCAATGCCTTCTCACAGACCTACAGCAGAGCAGTTTGCAGCAATTGTTGCAGCTTCGGGGCAAAATATACCAAGACATCATGTAAGTAAATCTCTTAAAATAGATTCGTCTCTAATCAAATGAATCGTTTCTAATCAAGCGAAAATTAATAATATTATTTTAGAAAAAAACTTAATTATATGCAAACCTTCACAATTTTGTATTAAAGAAAACAAATTCTTTTAATTTGTATTTTATTAAATAGATAATGATCTATATATATATATTATTAAATGTTTGTTAAATATTTGGTTAAACTTATATATGCGTAACCTTGCAAGTTCTTTAATTTTTAAATTCCCATAAATTTAACACAATAACAATAAATTTTTAACAAATTTTGTAAAATCTTTATTGTTTTAATTTCAGTTAAATGGAAAACCAAAAATTGCTCAAGTAACTCGAACGGGATCGGGGAGAAAACAGGTTATTAGTTGGATGGATGCACCTGACGATGTTTATTTTAGAGCAAATAAGTAAGTGAAAGGTTACAAGTGTTTTTTCAAATTTTAATTATTAAAGAAAATTTTGTTCATTTTAGGAAAGCAAGAAAATCTTTATCAACAATAGAGCTTAGACGTGCAGCTCGAAGACCTTGGAGAAATTTGCCAATTCCCAATATACCAATAATACCTTCGGCTTCAAGTGATTTACAAGTTGTGGTGCTAGATTGATTGAAATCAAGTCGCCGTCGATATCCTTCTTAGTATATAGATAAATCTTTTTTTTAAAATAATAAAAAATCCAAAAAAAAATTTACATTAAATTGAAATAAAAAAATATTTTATTACTTAATATAAATTATCAATAAATTATTATAAATATTTTTCCTATAATTATAACTTGTAGTGACAGCTTATTAAAAACGTAAAATATCTAATTTTTTTCATAAATACATATAATTTACATTGAAGCTGTTTAAAATAAAATTTTACCGCTTCTAAGTGTGAGGTTTAAGGAATTTTAAATTGTAAAAAAAAAAAATAAAAAATTAATTTTGTCTTTGTAACAAAACAGAAATGTATTCATAAAAAAGGCATATATAATATAAATATGTAATGTATTATCATTATTATTATTTTCTATTGAATTATTAAATATTAAACAAAAGCAACATTATTAATAAGATAGTTTTATCCTTTAATGAACTTTAATTAAATAAAATTTATTTAATTTTAATCTTAATTTACGTTAGATATTGTAAGAATTTCTAAAATGCATAGCACATGTTTTATGCAAATAAAAACAGATTTGATTAATTTAAGAAGTTTGTTTTGATTGATTTCTTCAATTAATAAGTTTTTATAAATCTTTTTTTGAGTTTCAGGAAGACTTGACACCCTTATTATGATCGGCGAAGCGAATGGCTAGGCGAGTGGAATGGACTGGTCGAATCAAATGATATTTTAATAGTTTAGATTTTTCCATTATATGACCATAAATGCTATAATATCCAATAAAAAAAAACACCTGTATTTCACAGAATTTTCATTCGACAGACTTAACAGCTCATTCGCACAAAGTTTAGGCGAATTCGCTAATCATAATGTCAAAAATTCATATTCGCTAAAAATTTCATTAGCTTTGCCGATCATTAGTCAAGAACGGGCCTTAGTCAAAGTCGGATACCTTCAAAAACTAAATTTAAGTTTGGAAAAATCCTATGTGTTACATTAAGCAATAGTATACAACTTTAAATATATTTTGTGAGTAAAAAAAGTTAAAAATATTACGCCAAACTCGAGTAGTTTTAAACAAATTAAAGAATATTAGATAATAATATTCGTTACATTTTTAGATTCGAAATCTACAAGATTCACAAGGTTTCTGCAACGTTTACGGTTTATATTTTCTAGTTCCTAACTAAATATTCTGCTCTACACTTGTTTCAATAAAGTGAACATTTTTTTGCTTTATTAATAAAAAATAAAATCAAACGCTAATATAGCCAGCAATACTATTTCTGTTTATTCTATTTTTATCGAATTTAAAAATTAATTTGTAATAATTAATAATAATATTTAGAAGTGGTCAGAATTGCCTTAACTTTTTGCCAATTGATGATAAATTGAAATTTAGTACACAATTAAAGCCACTTATTAAAAATTTCAAATTATGTGGATTGACTCAAAATTTAACAAGGGTTATACTTGATCCGTAAATACGTAACTTGTGGACGGATGTATTCAATCAAAATTTTGTAAATTAAATTTTAAAAACCATAAAATTGTTCTGACTAATTCCAAGCGATATTGTTTATAGTTTTTTCAATTGGACATTAAAAGCATTCAGCTTGAAGCAGATGCATTTTTTTTTTAATTTAATTAATCGCAATATTTCTATAAAAAATGATAAATATTTGTTTATTCTAATTATTTTTAATAACATTTTTAATAATTAAAACCACATATTTTGATTGATTTAATAAAATCAATTTATTTTATACTGAAATTTTTTCTTGTAATAGAATTTCATTAAATTAGTACCTTTAATAATTAACTTTTAAATTATAAATATATTATATATATTCATTAAAATAATGAAACAAAGCAATATATTATTAAATAATTTATAATATAATAATAAAAATGCAATAAAAAGTATATTTTTTAAGATTATCTTTTTCATTAATTATAATGAAGTTTCGAAAGCTGGAGGTTTTGTCATGGCAGTTGATGCTTCATTTGTAATATTTGTTACAACTGTTGTTCCTGTTGATGTTGTAATTACCGTTGTTCCTGCTATATTTTGCTTTACATTCATTTCATTTTTAATTGCTTTAGCAACATCTTGACGGTATTGTGATAAATGGCAACGATATTTTGAAGCATCAATTTCATTTTTCGTAAAATTATTTTCTTCTGATTGAAAAAAGAAGTTTTTCTTAAAATCGATATGTTCAACTGAATCAGACTTTTCTTTTAATTTATTATCAATAATACTAGTGCTACTTTTCTGTGAACTAATCGAACCACTGGAACTAGTGCTATCCTCTTCTTTGTTAGCCTCAGGTATAGTTGTAGACATAACATCGGTTCCAATAGAATTTCCTAAAGCGTAATTACGTTTTTTTGCACCACCGCTTATAATATATTTTGATGGTGAACCAAATTGACCTTGTCTTATCATTCTACGGTTAGCGAATTGTCGCGGGGAACGACTTAATTCTAATAATAGCATACTGGAACTTAATGAACCAGATTTTGCAAGTCCTGTTGGATTTGCTTTTTGACCAGCCCCAGTCGATATTGTAGTTGGCGATGATGATATTGGTGAAGTTCCTATTTTATTCGAGCTACTTAATGAATTTGTATTTTGCTTTGATGCCTTTAATAATTCGACAGCAGACATTTTTGAATTTGATGATATTGAAGTTTTTGTTGATTTGGCTAATAATAATTTTTTAAAATCCATTAAACTAGTTTTCGCTGTTCCTAAACGATCAGAACATGTATTTGGTATTTCCTCAGCATCTGTTGAATTACTAGGCTTTGGTCTTATACTTTGTAAATCAATTGTTTTAATCCTCGGTGGGGTAGAAAATTGTTTGAAATCTTGTTGTTGTTCCTGTACATCATTTATATTATCTAATTTTGATGGTGTAGACGTTCTAAAACTACTTTTATTACATGGTACTATTGGTGAAATTGTGGCTGATGATGATGACAATGATGATATGGTTTTTGGCAAGTTTACTGGCGATCTGTATATATTTGTACTTAATGGGGTCTGTTGTTTTAAAGATATCAATTCTGTATTTCGGATAATATCTTTTCTTGGCAGCGTACCATAAATTTGAGCGTTACGATTGAATGGTTCATTTTTCGTTTGAAGAAGATTTTGAAATTCTAAAGAAAACATTTTAAAAATGGATTAGATAAATATTTCATATACCTTTAATGAATTTTAATGAATAATAAAAATTTAAAGGATAAATCTTTTTGATATTTTAAAAAATACTTCAATAAATTTCACATTTTTTGCAAGGTACATAAAATTGGAAAATAACTAAGGAAATAATTCAAATAGTAGTCACATTTATCACGAGTTTTTTGCGTTCTTCACAAAAAAAACAATCCTTTTACATTTGGTAATGCATCCTTTATACATTTTCTAATTAATTAGGCAATTATTGTTTTCTTTGTGTTATCAAACATTATGTATACTTGGTTAAATTATATACTTGGTGCACTTTCTATTACGTTTTCATGATTGATATCAGAAATGTGCATGGAATAGTACAAAATTTGTTATATTTAAGCATATACTTGTCCATTATTTAATTATTTTACAGTATGTGAATTCAACTGGAGTTTTATATAATTATATACCTTCGTTTTATATAACAGATGTACATAAACAAATCTATTAATGTCAATGATATTTATTTGTGTTATACTTGCATAAATGTAATTATATAAATTTTATTTATGTAAGTATATTTATTTATTCGTTCGTATCATGTCTACCCGTTCATTGAAAGGAAAAGCAGGAATTTATTATCAATATGTACATTTGCTCATGTATATCTACAAAACCATGTATACAACACCCATACCAAAGCGCATTTAAAATGAGAGTAAAATTACGTTTGATATTTTTTGTAACTACAGATGACCCTAATATTTTTTTTTTCATTTTCATTTTCAAAATGAAGAGGAAATTCTATCGATTTTTATGTTTTACCTATCGTTTTACTTATTCTTATGTAATTAATATGAAATTCACTTTTGAGTAATGCGAAACTTATGAAAATTCGAAAATTCTTTTATTTTTACTTTTGTTTTAAACTCTTTTATTATTATTATTATTATTATTTTTATTATTGTTAGATGTTGAAAAATTAAATATTATTAAAAATTTTATTACCTTTTGTTTCTTGCATTTCTCTTTTAGCTTCCAAAGTTAGTTCATCCGAATCGATATTTTTTGTAATTCGTCTGGTTCTGTTTGAAGAGATTCGAGCTTGTTCCTCCTGTTTCTGATGATATAAGTTATTATTATTATTCTTATTATTACTATTAACTGGACGAATATCTTTTAATTCACGATTAGCACAACCGCCACTTATAAACCTTTTTAAACTATTTTTATATTTATCTTTTGCACTAATATTTTTGAATTCATTTTTGTTTTCTTCATTACTATTATTACTAAATTGCGTTGTTACTGATGATGATGTTGTTTTTGTTGATGATGATGATAAAGAAAGAGCACTATCTGCATCCTTAACATGTGGACCTGGTAAAAATGTAGTATGACCCCGTTTTTGTCGTCTAAGGCTGTCTGAATTGTATATAATTTTCCCCTGTGCATTAAAAGAAACGCGCATGTCACCTAATATATTAGAAGCTTTTTTCTCATTTATTGTATCTGTATTAATTTGATGTGCATGAGCTTCGAAGTTTTTTATAGAATTTTTATTTTGTGGAATACTCTTTTTACTGTTGTCTGAATCAGAGTCAACTTGTTCTAATATTGCATTAATATTATTATTAATTTTTTCTGATGGTTCTTCTTCGATAGTTCCAAATGCAAAAGGATTAAAATGTCCCGAAGTTTTATTAGATATCAAATTTTGTGGTAATTCTTTCAATGAAACATATTCGGATTCCGTATTTGATGAATAATCTAAGTCTCTATGTGGTGAGTTTGGCAAAAATGAATTAGTTTTAGAATAAGAAGAAACTGATGGCATTTTATTGTTATTAGAAACATCAGCTAAGGTAACATATTCTCCGATGGTATGATAAATATCTTTTTCAAATGAAATATCAATATCAAGATCATTTTCTTCTTCATCGTTTCGTACTAACTTAATTGGTTCAACAAATTCATTTGTTAAATCATATAAATTTTCATCTTCAGAAAATATCGCATCTTCATCGTAAGAAGTTCTACTATTTCTAGATAAAGATGGCGATGCTTGATTTGGCAATTCGATAATGTTGCGGTTATTTAAATCCTCTTTTGACAATTTCTTTTCTTTTTGCTCTCTTGAAAATACTTTTGCATACTGTACAACATTATTTGCGTTTGCTACAGGATTACCTACATATTGAAAAGAATAAAATTTTAAATACATGTAATTATAAACGCTACAATATTATTTTAATTGTTATTTTTTATATAAGAAAAATATTTACTAATTCATTGAAAAAAGTTTATAATTTAAAAAAAATATAATGTATGTATATAGCTTGTGTATCTTCTCTATCATTTGTGATTTAGTTTGTTTCAATAATATATAAGAAAATCTAATAAACTTACTTTTAACATTTTCATCGTCACTTGTCGTTGGTGTAATAATACACATAGATGGTATTCGACTCGAACTAATCGCTGTTTTTTGCCGAATTCTTTCTGATCGATCGTTACTTTCAACATCAGAATATTCTGCACATTCATTGTCTTCATTTATATTAGATTTCAAATTGTCATCGCCTAAATTACTCGTTTCAATTATATTTTTTTCTTCATTTTTTATTTTTTCACATTCTCGTTCTAAGTGAACTGTAACTTCAACTAATTCCTTGTGTAATATCTTACTATTTCTTTTTATTGTGCCACCACGTTCCAATGTACTAACAGCTGTGCTGCTAGAACAATTACTACTAGAATATGAAAGCTTATTCTCTCCAACCTCTGAAAATGATATCGAATTTAAATCATTTTCATTCCCCGTTAATAATGTTGTACAAACTGTACCAGCTGAGCTAGCAGTTGTAGACGTTGAACCTCGTCCAAATAATTCATATTCACTTTCGCCTGTTTGATTTAATAGAGTTCCGATTGAGTTATTGCTCGATAGAGCAGATGTTGAATGAAGTGGTGTTACAGGCTCTTCTTCTTTTAAAGTTTTTAATCCAGAATCAATGTGAAATGAAGTGTAATAACCCTCTGTATCACAGGAATATGCTGAACTTGTTTCGTCATCAATAAAACATATATCATTTATTAATTGTGGATCGGGTGTAGATGGTCCTTCACTGGTAATACTACTTGATGCCGATGTATTTAAAAATCTTCTACGACTAACAACCGAACTTGGTGGACCAGATGTACCAAAACTTTGATAACTATTATTATGGTTTAATGAAATGCTTGATGCACTTGATTTGGGTAATATCGTTATTTCACTACCAATTGATGCTCTTCCAGACTCAGAACTTGCACTCCAATTACCGCTGGAAGAGTGTGGTTCATCTTTATTAATATTTGAAGAATCATTTCGTCGTTGCCGTCGCAACGATGACGATTCACGCAATTTTACCGAATTTAAGGGTTGATTAGAATTACTATTATAACCTCTGTGATGTGGTGATGGCGAAGAAGCCACTGTAGCCGTTGATTCTGGACTATTCGATGTTGATGTTGATTCAGATTTGAAGTAATTAACAATTATTTTGTCACGATTATTATTATTTTTTTGTTCATTATTTGATGTTGAAGAAAAATAATTTTTTCCTTTTTCAAAAAATCTTTTACGATTTTTATTAACATTACTGTAGTTATTAGTTATTGTTGTATTTAATTTTATTTCATCAGCTTCACTGTCAGCCTCTGATGGATTATAATTTGAATTTTTATTTCTTTTATTATTGTCATCATTTTGGCGATCGGCAAATTTAAGGCGATTTCTACCCCAATTTTTTAATGAATTTAAACGACTCAATGTCGATTTACCAGGTTCTGAAATCTCTTTATTCTTTAATAAATCACTCGATTTACTTCTCTCTGAAATTGATTTCACAGGTGTTGTTTCACTTGAAGCTTGATCGGGATTTTCATCTCTAATTAGAGAGAAATGAGAAAAAAAAAACTAACTTTTAATATTTTCAAAATTAAATATTAATTAATTAATTTTATTAAATAAAAGTACAAAAACAAAGAAAAAAAGAATAGAATGTTATAATCTGAACGCAAATAATATTTACATTTGAACGAAAATTAATTAAAATGAAGCAAATTTAAAAATATTGTTCTCAAATGAATTAATTTAGTATCAATTTGAAAATTATTGCTAAACATTAAATTTTGTTACAACTATAATATTAATTCGAAATTTTCGCGCTGTACATTGATTTAAGAATTACATTAAATTAATTACATACATACATTAAATGATATTAGAAAGAACTTAAAATTTTTGAATTCGGGAGATTTTTGAAATGAGTTCGTAAGAACATAGGTTTTTTAAATACATACATAAATTGTTAATTTATTAAAGTAATTGTTGTTTTTTTATCTAATTATTTTATACAAATATGAATTTATAATTTAAATAAAAATAAATGTCTCAATAATTGATGCTTTTGTAATTAAAATTATTATTGTTATTTGTATTGTTTTAGTGAAATATATTTACAACGTTGTCTAACAATGGTTTGCAGATTATTTAAAATGTTTGACTAATTTTTTTGCTCCCGACGGTAAGTGATAAGGTATAAGTAATAAAAGTAATGCTATGAGCAAATGCAAGTCCAACGTCAAAATAATTCAGTAATTAAAACAGCATTGCTCAATAAGTCAAGCTGACATTAGATCTAAATTATAAGATGCCCTATAAGTAAAACTGGTTCAAATGAAATAATTTATAAAATGAGATTGCTTATATCCGGCAACTTTATATTGGAAATAAAAAACTGGCAATTAAAAAATTAATAATAGGGTAACAATCGCATTTATCAACGTCATTTTTATAAACACCCGAAAAAATGACAAATGAAAATTATTCAAATTTTGGAAATAAATTTCAATTTTTTGAAGTAACCTCATAAATGTACATACATAAATAGTGTTTTAATACAATTTTAATTCTTAAAAATTTAAAGTTACTAACTATTGAATTTTTAATGTTTGTTTCAATAATACATAAATAAAAAAATTTAAAACACCAGAATTATGTCAAAGTTATCAGAAAAACATTAAAAAAATTTTATATGTTGAGCTCAAGAAAGTTAAATTCTAATTGTTTAAAAATTAACTGTACTTAACAGGATACATGTTGTAAAATATTAAACTTATGTATGTAAATTATTAAACTATTAACATTTAGTTCCCAAGAAAATTTAACTCAAAAAAAAAGTATATGTTTCAAAAGCTTTATCTCGCCGATAGGTTGTCATTCAATAATTTTCAGTTTTTTAGACCAAGAACAATTTCGAAATTAGAGCTTCAATACGGAAAATTAAAATACTTTCAAATAATATCTTAATAAGTCAATTAATGCGAATAACTCAATAAGGGCGATTAATTATATTGTTCTTGTTAGGATGAATGATACAGTTTCTAAAATTAAATATGTATGCTTTTTTTTGGCTAATGTTAATTTAAATAAGGTTTATTATATTGAAACAAAAACAAGTGAATTTTAGAGTTTCTAAGTTAGATAGACTTTCATATTTTTGACTAATTTTTATATTTTGTTTTATATTAAGTTTAGAATTTTTGTTTTACAAATTAATTTTTATAGAATCAAGAAAAGGAGTTTTTAATAACTAGATAATCTTTTTCAATTTCATATACATATGTGTACATACATATTTCAATATTCTAATGGTGATGATGAATTTCGTTATAGGGACTATATAAGAGTAAAAATAATTTCTTAATATGAAATTTTAAAATTTAATTTAATTATTTGATTGAAAACAAAAAAAAAAAAATAAATAAAAGCAATTTTATGGCAAAAAAAAAAGAGTTTTTCAAAAAAAAATTATTTCTCATCATTTTAAAAATTAAATAACCAGTGGCAAATTATTTAACTGTTATACAAAAATTGATAGTAACATACATTATGTACATGAGTTAAAAGCATTGTCAAAACAGAAGATAATGCAAGAAAAACAAGAAAAGAGCTGTTTTTATCACATAATTTTTCTGTGTGAAGTACAAAAAATGTTTTTATTCTATTTTTTTAAATATAAAGCTTTTTATGTACATAATTTTATCATGCAATATTTTTATTTTAAATTTTGTACAAATAAATATTTTAACAATGAAAATAATATGTATAGATTTATATACATATATAAAAAACAAATTAATAGCAAATTATTAAAATAAAGAATTTATGGATTAAAATAGCAAAAATTAACAAAAAAAAAATAATGATATTTTCTTGGTATTTATGAATATATAAAAATAATACTGACTAAAAGAGAAACCTGCATACAAGCCGAAAACTTTGGTTTTTTTTTTATTTTTCTATAAAAATATTAACATATAATTTTTTCTTTTAATTTATTGATGATTCACTAGAATTTTTAGCATTTTTATATTTGAATTGCACTCATTATAAAAAAAAACAAATGAACTGAATGAGTGATAAATGCTATAAAACACTTGACGATTGTGAAAATGTCCACAATTGCATTTGTCCGAATGCAATATAAGATTCCCTACAAAGGATAAAAATATAAATCATGTACTTTTAAAATATTTGTATATTATTATTTTAATTTGTTATTGGTTTAAAATATATTATATGTGTAATTTGAAAATATTTACAAAAAAAAAAAAACAAACGTGTTTAGATACATATATTTAATTTTGTAATTTTAAACCTTTGTAGTGTATATTAAATACTAATGCTTGCGTATTTTAATAAGAAATTCCAATTTAATTATTTGTTATACATTTTATCATGCACTCATTTTTTAATTTAATATTTTAGTGTATCAATAATTTTTGGATTTTAATTATAATATTTTGTAAACTATTTTGTGTTAGATATTATGTAGTATGACTGCAATTATTATTTAACATGCATGTAATTAAACAATTATCGAAATACTTAATATGATTGGAAAGTATATTTTTCAGGGCTTCAACTATTGATAAGTGATGTATAAAACATGTAAACTATAGTTGAATATCATTGGATATTAGAATCTATATTAGTTTGAATTAACAATAGGAATATTCTGAAATATTTCTTGATTTCTGTAAAGAAATATGTATTGCGGAGAAAAAAAATACTAGATGAAATTAAAATTTGAATATGAGATAGTGTGGAAATTGATCGCTGCATATTAAATATTAATCAAATAACAAATTCATTAATAATACCTAATTACTACAAATATATGATTATTTTTCATATCAAGATTAACTAAACATTAACAACTAATTTTGATCAGATCAGAATTATAAATTGTTATCTTTGAACATAAAATTAATATAAAATAATGTTTAATCGATAAAAAAATGGACATTTAATAATTAAATTTTTGATCATTTACATAATAAAACTTTTCACTTAGAAATACAGTAGGTTAACATTTTGGGATTCTAATTCACATCTAATTATATACAGATTTAAGATTTTTAACTAACAATTCAAAATAATTACCATATATTGAAATAAATCCCATTAAAATTCAATGATAATAGCTTTTTTATCAAATATAATAGTTATTTATATTAAAATAATAAATTATTGAAACTTATTTGTTTAACAAGTCTGAACTTTTAGACAAGTGAATTATAATTTTTTGCTATCTATAAAATTTCGCCTATTTAATTAGTTCTATTTCGTACTATGAATCATTTTATATTTTCAAAAAGGCATGTATATAGTCAATCTACTTGTATATTTGTATATTGCGTCAGCTTTTGTTATGAATGACATGAAAAGCTTTCTAAATTATTGTATTCTAAAGTAAACTAAACCATAATTATAATGATGATTATAACGTGAGAATTTAATTATAAAAAATTAAAAAGAAAATAATAATAAATTAAATAAACAACAAAATCAACTTATATATTAAAATAATTATTATACCCTTGGATGGCTTCAGAAATTTCTTTTGGATCAATTCCTATAATTGTATTTCTACGTTTGCCTCTAGATTTTTTTGTTCTAGTTCTTTTTTCAGTATCATCTTTCGTTTTATTGTCTTTTTTGCTACCAGTTTTACTATCAGCATAAACTGATTTTCTGGAAAGGCACATACGATCAAAACGTCTACCAGTTATATCGACAGGTATTAATTCAGCAGGATACCTAAAAATTTTTATAAAAATGTTATGTATAAAGAAAGAGGTATTTGTTTTGAAATTTTAGAAAAATATTTACTTATTTGCTATTAATTGACATTGTTCTTCTGGTGATGGCAGAAGATGATCGATTGGTATATCATTTTCTGTTCCAATATCATTAAATTTTGTATATGTGGAGGGATTTTCTTGATAAGAGCTAGGAATTATATTTATTTGATCACTTTCTAAGAAAGAACCAACTTTGCTCATACAATCTGGAGTAACAGTAACATCTCCTAATGCTTCTAACGACGTCCATTTTCGAAGTTTATTAATATTAGCTGGCTAAAATTATAAAATAAAAAAGAAAAATTTATGAGCATTTACTTTTAATTTAAAATCATTTTTTTTTTTTGTTTAGATATTTTTTATAAAAAATTGCTTACCAAACGAATTTCAATTTCAGTATCAATTTTTAGAATTTTCTTTTCAAATGATGATTCATTTCTAATATTATTTGATATTATTGTATTATTTTCTTTATAATTAGTTGTTGTATCAACTAAATCGACGGAATCTGTATAAGCTGGACTTCTTCCAGCAGCCTCATAAAGGTTTTGTACATTTCTAGGACGTGTTTCTTTAATGAACAAATGTTTTTCACAATCTAATTTCGATTTGAAGTGCTCTTTTATTTGTATGAACGTTTCAAAATCACTTTCGGCTGAAAAATAAAAAATAAATACATAAATTAAATATTTAAATCATAATTTTAAAGAAATTTTTGTACATAAACTTATCCATATATAAGCGTATAAATATAAAGCTTAACAATTAATTTCAACTTAGAAAGAAGTAATGCTCTAATGTCAAAATGCTTTTGACGTTAGAATATAATATAATTATGTAAGTATGTATGTCATGTACATAAGTATCAATATTTTGTTCAGTTTTATTACGGCTGTCTCGTTTGTTGTGAACCAAATTGGCTAAAATTTTCATATTGGTAATTGAACAAACATGCATAAATGAAATTTTCACATGCCCACTGAAAGTTCTGATTTCTTTTTATTAAACAAAAATACATACATATGTTCATATATTATGTATATACAGGGTTATTTAGAAAAGAGTACCATATCACCGTTTGGAGGGCATCGAAAATGGGTAAAATTTTTGTTTAGGTTCAAATTTCAGCGGTTTTCGAGTTACTTGCCCAACCTTTTTTGCTCATATCTCGTTTTCGAAAAAGATATAGAAGGTCCACAAACATTTTTTTTAAAGATCTAGTAAAGGGATTGAAATCAACATATTTTTGATTTTGCGGCATTTAATGCACTTTCAGATGCCAAGCATTTTAGTTTCAGAAAAAATCAAATTTTTTCTTTTTTTTATATTGTTATACACACTTACATATGTATGTACGAGTATTATTTAATAATTTTTGAATATGAACGATTAATTTTTTGAAAAATATCTTAAGAATATCAAAATAATCAATCCTTAATTTTTAATATTTTATATAAGTGGCACATTATCTTTTCACTCAGAAACCATTCAAACTTGTTTTCTTTCAATTTATCATAAATTTTTTTTTTTGGCATCATTGTATTATTCAATTCACATTTCACAATCAACATTTATCTAAAATCTAATTTCATTAGTTTAAAATGTTTTGAATGAATGAAAACGTTCAGCAAAAATAATAAATAAGCATCATTAAATTACACTTCCAATAGAATATTCAAGGTCACTAAGCGTAATCGAATAAAAAGAAGATGATTAAACAAAATAAAAACATTTTTTTTTTTTGCATGCTTGGTGTTCATCACTTTGAAAACAGATTTTAATTTTCTTGATCTCAGTAAAAAAAAAAATCTCATTACATTGTTGTTGGGAATACAAAAATTTTGTTTTTTTCCTTATAAACTTTTTACTATTAATTTATTTTTTCATAAAAATAAAAAACTAAAACGTTTGCAAAGAGTTAAAGATTTGAATTATTTAGTGAAGGCCATAAAACAGCGTTTAAAGAATCTTAAATTCTTGGGCTGTGATAAAACAGAGTTTGTTTTCAATGTGCTCTTTGTTGAATTTTTCAAAATGCCTGTAAATGTATAAAGTTTGCACTGCGTGCCCGTCATTGAAATAGAATAAATCTCATCTAATGTCTAATCAGCAGATTAATATTTATAAATTTCATTAAAATACTATCAAATTCAAAGTTTCGTTGTTGTTTTTTTTTTGTTGTCATCAATCAGACTATGTTTTTACTGCATCACCTTAAAACTGAAAATTTTTCTACTAATGAATAGTAGCTGCTTATATGTAAGTATGTATAAGGTATGAAAATTTTATTCCAAATACAATCTTACTTTATTACTGCAAATTTTTAATTAAATTCAATACAGTAACGCACTTAATCATATATACATATATTTAAACACATGTATGAATATATGTCTGAATGTCCAGTTTTAATTATCTATCCAAACTTTCTGGAAGAATATTTTTACAGCAAAAATCAATAAATACATGTAACTACATATGTAACTATTTTGAAGTTACTATGTTACATTATAAAACTGAAACGATTGCAATATTGCACCAATTCCATTATTGGAAAAATTTTTGGCAACTAGACCGGAAACAAAAATGAAATGCAATGTCGTACGTATGGTTTTGCTTTTGTGTTATTCTTGATAATAATACAACAGCTATACTTATATACAAATTAAGTAAAAGTATGTACGTACATAATGTAAAGCCAAAATTTAGAAAATCCCTTTAATTATATTTTTTTTTTTTTTTTTCCTTTGTTCACTCCAGTTTAGGAGCATAGGGCCTCCACATAGCCTCTCCATCGTACTCTGTTACTTGACAATGTTTTTATCTGTGACCAAGACTTGCCGCTGTCGGCGATTTCTTTGTTTATGGTTCTACGCCATGTCATTTTTGGTCTACCCACTTTTCGTTTCCCTTGGGGGTTCCACTCTAGCGCTTGACGCGGAATCGCACCCGGTGGCCTTCTTAGTGTGTGCCCCAACCAGCGCCATTTACGTTTCTTGATTTGTGTGGCTATAGGTTCTTCACCTGTGAGGTCCCACAGCTCTAGGTTGGAGATTCTATTCGGCCAGAAGATTCTACATATTTTTCTGAGGCATTTGTTGACGAATACCTGAATGCTGTTTATACTGGCTTGGTTTGCGTGCCAGGTCTCGCTTCCATACAAGAGTATTGGTTTTATACAAGCGCCAAACAATCTCAGCTTGGTTTTTCTACTGAGATTGGACGATCTCCAAGCAGTCCACATTTTGCCAAATGCTGCCCTAGCTAGTCCGATCCTGTTCAAGATATCATACTCCGTTCCCCCCGTTGTAGTTATTATACTACCGAGGTAATTGAACTTAGTGACGTCCTCTATAGTTGTGTTGTTTATCATGAACGTGTTCGTGTTGCGGCAGTTTAATCTTAAGGACTTTGTTTTTCGTGTATTTATCTGGAGTCCAGCACTTTTTGCTTTACTGTGTAGGAGGTCGAGTTTTGCTTGCATCTCTTCGTAAGTATGGGAAAGCAGGGCAATGTCGTCAGCGTAATCCAGATCTTCTAAACGATCGGTTAATGACCATCTTATTCCTCTGGGTGTGCTTGTCACTTCTTGCATTATGTTATCTAGGACAGAGTTGAAGAGTATCGGTGAAAGTGGGCAACCTTGCTTAACTCCACTGTTTATAATGACTGGCTCGCTTAGTGCGCCATTGTGTAGTATTCTTGTTTCATTCTGATCGTACATCGCTTTGATTATGTTTATAATTTTCTCTGGAATTCCTTTTTTCCTTAAAGCACTCCATATACTATCCCGTTTTACTGCATCGAAAGCTGTTTCGAAATCTACAAATGCAATGTACAATGGTGAGTTCCACTCAATAGATTGTTCCACGATGATTCTCAATGTGTTTGCTTGATCTATACAACTACGTTGTTTGCGGAAACCAGCTTGTTCTTCTCGTAGTTTGATCTTGTCTTCAATTCTTCCGAGAATTGTCAGAGCCAGAACCTTATTTATTGTGTTTTGTATGGTGATTCCACGCCAATTTCTACATTCTTTTGGATCACCTTTCTTGGGTAGTTTTATTATTATGCCCTTTTTCCAAGAGCGCGGTATGATTTCGTTACGCCAGATTTGTTCTATGATGGGTTGCAATTTTTGGGCGGCCGTGTTATTGTCGATTTTTAGAAGCTCGGCCGCCACACCATCCTGCCCCTCTGCTTTGTTGCGCTTTAGTTTATCTATAGCCTGCATAATCTCTGTACGAGTTGGGGGGCCCTGTTTGATCTGGTTGTTTTGGCTATGGACTTCTGGTTCTGTCTCTGCGGGTTCATCTTCTTCTATTCGTCCTAACGATTCGAAGTATTCTTTCCATCTCTGCATTTGGTCACTAGTGGAGGTAAGGAGTTCACCATTAAGATTTCTAATTGGCTGTTTGTTGTTGATGCTATTCTTTGTTAGTTTCTGGATGTTTTTGTATAGATCGCGCATATTGTTACGGCGAGCGGCTGTTTCTGCATTTTGGGCTATGTTCACGTAGAACTTTCGTTTGTCTTTTCTGGCAGATCGTTTGACTTCTTTTGCAAGACTATTATATTGTTGTTTCAAGCTTCCTGATGGTTGCGTGAGTAGTTTTTCTTTTATTTTTCTTCTTTGTAGTATCTTTGACCAAGTTTCGTTTGATATCCATTCTTTCCGATTCTGTTCAACCAGGCCAAGTACTTCTTCCCCTCCTCGTCTGTAGATTTCTTGAATGTTGTCTTCCGTAGTTACTGCATTCTGAATTTTGGATACAAATTCAATCTTTGTACTTTCAGATGCCAACCCTGCCTTGTTTAATTTTGACATTCTCTTGTCAAGTCTGTTGTGGATTGCAGATGGTCTTAATCTTACATCACCAGTGAGAAGTAAATGGTCACTGTGGATATCAGCACCCCTCCGATTTCTTACATCCAGCAGAGAACGTCGCCATTTATTGCTGATGCAGATGTGGTCGATTTGATTTCTTGTTTGGCCGTTTGGAGATTGCCACGTATACTTGTGTATATCTTTGTGGGGGAATAGTGTGCCGCCAATTGTCAGGTTGTGTTCTGTCCTTTAATTATATATTTCACATTAATTTATTTTATGCTCTGCGTCAACATTTTTCTAATGGAAAATATTGTAATGAATTATTCAACCATTTTTATACTTTTTGTAATTTTGTAGAATAGAAAACAGCAGGTTGATTAGAATAAAGTCCAGAAAAATATAAATTTTTATTTGGAAATGAAAACTTTTTTTTTTTTTTTAAATTCTAGTTTACCTGCATAAAAAATGCAATTCTCTGTATATGTATGTATGTGTGTTTGTTTAGAAGTAAAAATTTTCCAAATCATAAACTCCTATAATATACTCCTATATAAAGATGACTGTGTCCAAATACATTTAAATTTTTTAAAGTTCCTTTGAACTATTGAATTTCTATTTTATTCAAATTGATATTTGGGATATTCTAAAGAAAATAAGCAACAGTCAACATTACAGAACACTCACTATTTATTTATATTATTTACTGTTCAGAATGAGAGCTGTAGTAGTTTATTTTAAAAATTAGTTAAATTTAAATATAAAATAGTCTATGAATTGAAAATTAGAAAAGAAAAGATGTTAAATATTCTTATAATGTCTTAAAA